TTGGCTGTTTGGGGCGCCTGTTTCGAGCAGGTGGAGCCTAACCCCCATAGGACGCCCGGTTCCACACAGTCGCATTAAGAAGAGGTCGGAGCCAGATCCCCCGCCCTCCCCCCCCTTCCGTCCAATGGCGAAACGCCGACAAAAAGACGCTCACTTTCGGGTTCGGGGCGTGGTTCGAGGTTTCCGGACGTTTGCGTCAGTTCTCGGCGGTTTCCAGCCTCGGGATTTCGGGTGAAGGGGGTCCAGCTGAAAGGGGGTGGTGCAATAAAATTCAGCAAGAGCTTGTGATCGTTTTCTGATTCATTGTTTTGCCGATCGGCGCGGGCCCTCGCACCCTCCCTCGCCCCCCCCCTCCCCTGGAGTAGATTTCGGCTGCTTGGGGCGCCTGTTTCGAGCAGGTGGAGCCTAACCCCCATAGGACGCACGGTTCCACACAGTCGCATTAAGAAGACGTCAGGAGCCAGACCCCCCCCCCCTCCCCGCCCCTTCCGCCCAATGCCGAAACGCCGAAACAAAAAACACGCTCACTTTCGGGTTCGAGGTTCGAGGTTTCCGGACGTTTGCGTCAGTTCTCGGCGGTTTTCCAGTCTCGGGATGCTTGCCAGCAGCTGCGCCTCGCCGAGGGCGTTCCGGGGGCGCCCAGATCTTTCCGAACGGCCGCTAGAGACCCGAGTTAACACCCCAAAACCTGATTCGGCGGCGAGGGAGGGGGGGAAGTTAAAAGGAAAAGGCCTTCTCAGAAGACGGCGAGACTTCTCATATGATTTCGCGCCTTCTAAGAAGTATTATGCGTCTCCGGGAGAGGATTAGAAATTTCTCAGAAGGCCGGGGAAATTTTCAAACCTTCTGAGAAGGCCTCACTCCCCCCCGAGACCGCCGCCAAGAATCAGGCAACCCGATGGGCGGCGGGTGTGGGTCACGGAATTCGTCGAGCACGCTGCAAAACCGGGGCCCGACCCCGCCCCCCCATCGATACAGGATAGCCGATGGTTGGCAGGGCAGGGTTCGGATGCTCCCACCTGATCACGCCACGCAGAGCTCTGCCTCGTCGGCCCTGTCTAGGCCTCCCAGACGGGGTGCGAGCAGATGGGGTCGGAGCATCGGGCCGCACCTCCAATGCATCGGCGATACGGCTCGGCGTGGAGCGCCCGGCCCTCCCCACGCCGACGGCGCCGACGCCCCGCCGACGTCGCCGACGCACTGCCGATGCACCGGCGATGCATCGACGAGGCGGCGCAGTGCTTTGATCCACCTGCTCCGACCCCATCCGGGAGGCCTCCACCCTCGTCGCCCAGGAGGAGGAGGAGGAGGAGGAGGAGGAGGAGGAGGAGGAGGAGGAGGAGGAGGAGGAGGAGGAGGAGAGGAGGAGGAGGAGGAGGGAGGAGGAGGGGGAGGGGGAGGAGGAGGAGGAGGAGGAGCCCTCGGCGGAGCCCTCGGCGCGCCTCGTGCCCGCGCGGGCGCGAGCGCCCCTCGCCGGCGGGCCCCTGCGGCAGCCGGAGCTGGCTCCGCGGCCTGCGGGCCCTGCCGGCGGACGGGCGCGCCGGCGCGCGCGGACGAGCGCGGGCGCGCGGCACCGGCAGCCGGCGAGCTCCGGGCCGCCGGCATGCGCCGCTCGCTGCGCGCCTGGCTGTGGTCGCCGGCCACGCGCAGAGGGCGGTGTTTCAGAGCCCCGAATCATCAGGGGTAACTCGGGTCAGGGATAACTCGGGTTCGTTTTTCGGGAATCCGAACCCGAGTTACCCCGGACCCGAGTTACCCCGGATAACTCGGGCGTCCAGAGCCCCGAATCATCAGGGATAACTCGGGTCAGGGATAACTCGGGTTCGTTTTTCGGGAACCCAAACCCGAGTTACCCCGGACCCGAGTTACCCCGGATATTTCGGGCGTCCAGAGCCCCGAATCATCAGGGATAACTCGGGTCAGGGATAACTCGGGTTCGTTTTTCGGGAACCCAAACCCGAGTTACCCCGGACCCGAGTTACCCCGGATAACTCGGGCGCCCAAGTGTTGGGGGAAGGGGGGGGGGCTGCTCGGAAGCACCCCTCCTCCTCTCGAGCAGGGGCGACGCGTCCCGGCGTGCTTATTATAGGCCTACCAGGCAATGTTCTAAGAACCTTTTTTTGTGGTTTCCACGACATGTTTTTAGAACATTTCTGGCTGGGACTGTCTTGTTTCGTCACATCGGGTTCATGTTCTAAGGACATCGCTTGTGTTCTTAATTAGAACATGCTTGGGCTCTAAGAACACGTCGTGGGAGGCCTAAAGAACTGCCGGGACGGTCGGTCCCTGCTCCATTCTCGGGAGGCGCGGGCCTCCCCCACAGCTGCAGGGCTGGCGCCCTCTGAGAAGCGGCCTCCTCCTGAGGAGCCCTCCGCCCCCCCCCCTGTGCCCCCCGTGTTCGGCTAGACGTAAGAGTGACCTTTCGCCGGAGTGACCTTTGGTGCGGACCCAAATGAGTCCCCCGATCGCCGAACGCGCTGCGACATCAGCGGCCTGCGCGCTTGGGTTTGGCTCCCCCCGCGCCCCCCTAATGCCGCGCACCAAAGGTCACTCTTACCCGGGGTCACTCTTGCGTAATAGCCGACTTGTGCGCGCGGCCGAGGTTGGCCGTGGGAGGGCCCGCGATCGCCGCGCGGCTCGGCAGGGCCCCGGCGCGGCCGGCGCCAGAGGCTCGCGGCCGCTCGCTGCTCTCCTCGCGGGCGCCGCCGAGCCCGGCGCGGATCCGCATGCGCAACTTCCAGGGGCTGCAGTACCAGCCTCGGCCACGCGCAGAGGGGGGTTACAGTAGACCCGTGTGTTAATGCAGTCGGGGCCCTGAACAGGGAGCCCTTTTCGTTGGAGAGGGGCTCGGCGTTCCTTGATTGTTCTGCAGTTTGCCTTCAGTTTTCCTGAGGTTTCCCATGGGGAATCGAAGTTCAACGTATGGGAGAAAGGGGCCCCGTTCCTTATTTGAGGTTCATTAGGTCAACGCCCCGACTGTAGGGGAACGAAAAATGACATAAAGATAAAAACTCTGTGGTCTGCGCGGATTTCTCGGATCGGCGCTGGGGCCCCCCGGCGGCGCCTCCAGGGCCCCCCCCTGGCGCGCTCCGCGCGCCAGGGACGGTGGCCAAGCGCGGATCCCAGAAAACCGCGCGGACCTCCGAGTGTGGAAGGCCATGTCAACACTTTGCGAGCGGGGCGCGGCCAGCGAAAGTGGTCAAGGGTGGGCCGAAGAGGCAGGATGTAAGGGTAATCTTAGAGCTTAGAGAGTTGTGCATCCTTACTACGCGGGTTCACTGTAAGGGGAGGGGGGAAGACGTCTTAGAAGCACTCCTGCTTCTCAGAAGGCGCGGGCCTGACCTGTAGGTGTAGGGCCAGCGCCTTCTGAGACGCAGCATCCTTCTAAGAAGCTTCCCCCTCCCTGTGCCCGCTCTTGCACGCCGCCAACACTCGAAGAAAAACAAGAAGCATAGGCAACGAGCTGTCGAGCTCCGCAAGAATTTCTTGGGTCTGCGCTGGACCCCCCTTTCCTGGCGCGCGGAGCGTGCCAGGGGCTGTGCCGGAGGCGCCGCCGAAAGGGTCCAGCGCAGGTGCAGGAAGTCCGCGCGGAGCTCCGAAAGTTCATGTGTATGCAGCTTGTTCTTCTTCTAACCATGCCACCCTGCTCCTGGGCGGCCAGCCTTTTGCCGCCATCTTTGACACTGGGTCCTTCTCGGCGGCGCGCACAAGGGGGTGGCGCTAGGGCCGCTAGGGGGGTGGCCTTCTGCGGTGGAGGGCTCTCTTAGAAGGCAGGAGCCTTCTCAGGTGGGTTCGGAGGCTTCCAGGAAGGCCTCGTAGAGGCAGGCTGGGCTTGCGAGAACCCCCCCGCCTTCTAGGAAGCCCTTTGCCTTCTTCGGACGGGGCTACTAGGACGAGGATGGATCCGCTCCAGAGCTATCCGGAACGCTCTCAGAGCTTTCCGCAACGCTCGGAGAAGGCTGCGGCGCCCGAGACAGCCTCCAGAGCCGCTGAATCTCAGAGATTCTCAATGTATCCTCACCCGATGGTATCCTCGTCCTGCTTCATCTCACTTCCACTCCTCCTCCTCCTCCTCCTCCTCCTCCTCCTCCTCCTCCTCCTCCTCCTCCTCCTCCTCCTCCTCATACTCCTTCTTCAACTTACTTTCAAGCCTTACCGCAAGCGTAACATGTACCGGCGCGCGACGGGGGCAGGGGGGAGGAGGGAGCAGCGGAAGGCAGGAAGGGGGGAGGCAGGAAGGAGGGACGAGGAGTGTGGGGCCCAGGCATGCGATGCCTTGATGCGTCGGACCGAGGCATCAGATGATGCAGGTCGGCTCGGGGAGGGCACCCGAATGCTCTTCGTGCCTGTTGCGTGCTCCTGTGCATCCTGGGAGAGGCTGCCCTCGAGCCTTCTGCACTTCGCCCCGCGGCGGGCCCCTCGTGCTCTCGAGGGGTGCTCCCCTGTCCTGCATAGGGCCTGCTGTACGGGGCCCGCAGGAGCCCCTGCCCTCGCCCCACCGGCCCGGCTCCTCGCCCCGAGCCGCGCTGTGTCGACGGCCCCCGGGGGCCCGGCGAGTGCCCCAGGAGAGAGAGAGGCCGAGAAGGCGACGACCAGAAGTCCGCTCCGACTCTGCCCCCCCTCCTCCTCCTCCTCCTCCTCCTCCTCCTCCTCCTCCTCCTCCTCCTCCTCCTCCTCCTCCTCCTCCTCCTCCTCCTCCTCCTCCTCCTTCTCCTCGTCCTCCCCCCCTCCTCCTCCTCCTGCTCCTCCTCCTCCTCCTCCTCCTCCTCCTCCTCCTCCTCCTCCTCCGTCCCTCTCCTCCTCCTCCTCCTCCTCCTCCTCCTCCTCCTCCTCCTCCTCCTCCTCCTCCTCCTCCTCCTCCTCCTCCTCCTCCTCCTCCTCCTCTCCTCTCCTCCTCCTCCTCCTCCTCCTCCTCCTCCTCCTCCTCCTCCTCCTCCCTCCTCCTCCTCCTCCTCCTCCTCCTCCTCCCTCCTCCTCCTCCTCCTCCTCCTCCTCCTCCTCCTCCTCCTCCTCCTCCTCCTCCCCCTCCTCCTCCTGCCTTCTCAGAAGGCCACCCCGCTTGCGCCGCCCCCTCGTGAGCGCCGCTGGCCTTCGAGACGCTGGTGATGTCCTCCCAGTGCGAGCCCTGCGAGGCGCTGCCGGGAGTCGCGACCTACGACAGCGCATCGTCCAGCACGTTCGCCGACGGGGGGGGCGGTGCCCGGGTGCACGAGTACGGCAGCGGCCCAGTGCTCGCCCGCCAGGACTCGAGCAGGGGATCGACCACAGAATTGATGTGTCCCCCAGATTGATCTTGCCGGCGAATCTACGAAGAGTGCATCGAATCCTCGCACGTCTAAGAAGCATTCTACGCATTTTTCACAGATCCGACGACAATATCAATTATGGGTAAATCAGTTCTGCAGTCCATCCCCTACTTGAAGGACGTGGAGACCGCGTGCATTGGCGGCGAGGGCGATGAGGTCAGCCTCTGCGCACAGCGCGTGCCCTTCTGGCAGGTGCTCGACCATAACCTCAGCGTGTGGGAGGGCGACGTGACGGCCTTCTCGGCCATCGTGGGCCTGGGGCACCCACGCTCGCTCGAGGACGTGCAGGCGGCCGGTGCGTCGAGCGATTCGCTCCTGGAGCCCGAGGACGTAAAAATGACGTTGCCTCGAGCGATCCCCATCCCCAGGAACGCCAGGCGGCATACCCTGAGATCCTGGCTTCTCAATCTTTGTGACCCTGGCGTGTTCGACCGGTGTCGGGCCCCGGCGCCCTCACCTGTCGAGCTGGCTCGAAAGATGGCTCATGGATTCATGGGGTGCGGGGCTCTGGCCGTGGTGTTTCACAGTACAGTGTTGCGTGTGTTCGTGTTCCGAAGCGTCGGGTCTTATGGGCCAGCAGCCTCTGGGGCCTGGCGGGCGCAGCATGCAGGCGACAGTTGCCGAAGGTGCGAGGCGGGATGCCCAGGGAGCGCCAGCACTGGGCGACCGCGTTGTGCAGGGTGTGCGAGGCTGGCCGGGAGTTGTTTGGTTCAAGTCGAGGGGGGTGATGGCTAGGGGGGGGGGATTTCATGGCGTTGGCCATGATTTTTTCTCAGATTTCATGGCGCCTCTTCCTGTTTCATTACATCCCTGGCCCCCCCCTTGGGCCGCGCACATGCCGCCGGCCATGATTTGCACCCCCCCCTCTTGGACACCCCCCTCTTGGCCGCTCCCGATGCTCGCAAAGTGCCTGCTCGGAAACGTCCGAAAAGCACACGTCTGCTTCGATGTAATCTCTCGTAGATCCCCCGCGGGGGATCCAGGCCCTTGGCGAGTAGTGGCACGCGCTCGTCTATCTAAGAACCCCAACCTGTCGGGCTGTCGCGTGGGGAACTGCCTGAACACAACATTTCGGAGGTCCGCGCGGATTTCTTGGATCTGCGCTGGAGCCCCTAGCGGCGCCTCCGCCGCTGCCCCTGGTGCGCTCCGCGCGCTCGGAAGGGGAGCTCCGGCGCAGGGCCAAGAATTCCGTGCGCACCTCCGACCGGCTACAGAGGGCGCACCACATAAGGAATCGGTCTGGCAGCACCCTGCCCACGGAAATGTTCGATCCCCCGATGGCCGACAGCCCCAGGGACCCACACGCGCCCCGAGGCACCTCAGAATCCTCAAAGGTCGATGAGGACTGTGCCCCAAGATTCTTTCTGGCAAGATCTCTTACCGTACTCCGAGTTTCGCAATAAGCGCCGGGGGGGCGTCACCACCGCCGACAGCCCCGCATCGACCCCCGCCGCGAGCAGCCACCGCGCGCCGAGGGCGCTCCGACCCCCGTCGCGGCGCGACGACGAGGCGAGGTCGACCCCCATCGGGGGGGTACCCCCCCACGGTTATGAAGAAACCCAGGGTATGCGCCTACTCTTAAGTCGGGCCTGTCCCTCTTCAGGGGGAATATCCAAAAATAGTTTAAAACAAATCATGTGTTTGCATGTATGTATGTTTCATATGTTTTTTTAGTTTATAGTTATATGGTTTATGTTTATACTATTTTGGGGAATGATGTTTACACTATTTGGGGGAATGATGTTTATACTATTTTGCATGTTTTTTGGTCCAAAATCCCACTGTAGGGGGACTCGCCCGACCTGAAGCCTGCTCCGCTGCTCAATGCCCTCACCTTTTTGTTTTCCCAGGAGCGGCTCGGCGTGGAGCGCTTCGGGGTGTGCCTGCAGCCGGGCCCCGGCGCGCCCGGGTGGCTGGACGTCTCCCCGCCGCTGGGGCCGCACTTCACGGAGGCGCCTCGCGCGTGTGCGGAGGCAGCAGCAGGAGGGGGATGGATTTCAAATCGGGCCTGTCCCTCTAAAGGAGGAATCTTCAAACATAGTTTTAAAACAAATAGTCTGGGGACGATTTTTGTTAGATGTTTTTTTTCTGCCGGGAGCAACGACACGCCAAATGCGCGCCAGCAGTGTCAGTTGCACACCAAATGCGTGCACAAGGCGGCCAGGACGCGCCACATGCGCGCCGGGAGGACGGAGCAGAAGGGGGATGGGTTTCAAATCGGGCCTGTCCCTCTAAAGGAGGAAACATTCGAAAATAGTTTAAAAATGGTATGATGACGATGTTGGGTAGCATTGATGGCATTTTTTTGGCGTCTTTCTGTACTTTTTGTTCTTGTTTGTCCACATCCCCCTGTAGGGGGACATGCCCGACCCAAGGATAGGTTCAGGGGGCCATGTTTTGGCCCCAAACTCAGGCGATCGCAAACGTGGATCAAGGGGGCGTGGATTAGCGACGGGTCCTGTTTCCATTGGAAACCGCCGATTGCCGACGCCGAGCGAGGTGGCACTTGCCGCATTTTGGGGAGGGCACCTCCCCCGATCCATGGATTTGGTGACCGCGCGCCAAATCCATGGATCGTTAATCCATGTTTGCGCGCCCCCGACATCAGCGGGGGGATAGGTTCAGGGGGCCATGCTTCGACCCCCAATCGGCCACTCATCGCCGATACGGGGCCAGACAGCCCAAGCCCAGCACGCCCAAGAACTTGCGGTATCGGGGGCCTGTCGCCCATCCATCAGCGGTTTATCGCTGCTGTCAGGTCGATGCTTTCCCCCCCTGAGCCAATCCCCCCCCAAGATGAATTCCCAGTTGTTCCAAAGATTGCCGCGGAGGCCCAGATGGCCTCCAGAGCACCCCACCCCATCACGAGGCCCAGGCAGCACACGAGCTCCAAAGTTCGAAAATGAAACTAAACATAAGTGTTCGGATATCCGCGAGGCTCTCTCGGATCTACGCCAGGCCTCTCCTTGCGGCGCTTCCAGCGCAGCCCCTGACGCGCACCGCGCTCCAGGGAGGAGGGGCACAGCGCAGGTCCAAGAAATCAGCGTGGGCCTTCGAAAGTTGTACGTCTATGCACTCGTTCGTTCCTCTACATATTGCTTTCAGAGCACCTCTCACGAGGCCCAGAGGGGCCAGGGGCCTGAAAGTGGCGCGAGAAGCTGGGGAACCCCTTGGGCCAGGACAATGTCTCACCGGGAAACGCAAGACTCGGGTGTGTCGGAATTCGGGTGTGCCGCCGTTGTTGTTGACAGTCTTGGCGTGGTGTCTCACGGCCCATTTGTCGTGAGATGCTTTCAGCAGGAGTTCGCGCCACATTCAGACTGGGTCCCGCCGTGTGCCTGACGGCGCCAGCAGCCCAGCTCGAGCCCCTCGATCCCGAATCGCACGCTTCCCCGATTTTTCGGCAGCGTCCGAGAGGTGCCCGTGGTGGGGACAGCGTATTGGGCGGTGACGCTCACGGGCATCGCGCTGGGGGACGTGGGCGCGGACCTCTGTTCCCCGTCCTGCGGCGCTCGGCATCGTTTAACCGATCCAGGGCTGGACCTAAACGCTGTTTTGCTGGACTGCGGCGGTGCTTTGTTTTTCGCTTTATCAGGGAGGTGCAGGAAAACAGGTAGAGCAAAACGAAAACCAAAACGAACACGAAACGAAATACAACGTTCAGGTCCAGCCCTGCAACCTATCTCCATCCTCTCGGGGCCACGGTTCCTCAGCCCCACCAGCCCGCCCACCCCTGGGTGGGGATAGGCCTTGCGAAGCCAGCGGGGACCCACATACATCACCATTTGGGTGGGTAAGCTTGTCAGTGAGACCAATCAACGAAAAAACATAAACATTAACTTTTTGCGCTCCGCGCGGATATCTTGGATCTGCGCTGGGGCCCCTCGGCGGCGCCTCCGGCGACGCCCCTGGCGCGCTACGCGCGCAGGGGAGTGGGGTCCAGCGCGGATCCCAGAAATCTGCGCGGAGCGCAAACAGTTCTTGTCTATGGCGTTTTCTTTCTTCTAGCCAAGGCCGCGTCAGTGGCGGTAGGAATCGGTTAAACGATGCTCAGGCGCGCTGGTGGACACGGGCTTCTCGCTGATCGGCGCGCCCGCGGCGGCCATCGCAGCCCTGAGTCCCGTATTGGGCAGCATTGCGGAGGATTGCAGCAACTTGTTGGAGTTCAGGGGAGGAAAAGATGCCGATGCCGCTGCTCGTCTTCGACAACTCTCGTCGCCACGGCCAGACTATCCTCGAAATGCTGGTCATCATGCGAGCAAGAGAGCCATCACGTAACACATACCCTTTCGCAGCTCCTCGCGGATTTCTTGGATCGGCGTTGGGCCCCTTTGGCGGTGCCGCCCCTGGCGCGTTCCGCGCGCCAGAGAGGAGGGTCCAGCGCAGATCCAAGAGATCCGCGCGGACCTCCACAGGTGTATGTTTGAGCAGCTTGTTCTTCCTCTGTGGATTGCCTTGGTCGCCACGGCTAAGATATTCTCGGAATTCTGGTCAGACCGCACCTTCGGAGAAGTTCGGAGAGAAGGGGTGTCGGTACAGCTGGCGCGAAGGTTAATGAGAACCTTGGCGTTGCCAGGGTTACATGCATGTGTTCTTGTTTTCTCTGGGCTCTTCACGTTGGTATGTTCTTCGCTCGGGGTAACTTTATGGCTCCTTGGGTCTTTGGCGAGGGGGCTCACGTTCTTGGCCCATGTTCTTGTGACCGTGTTACGGCCGAATGTTGTTTCTTCTCCAGGAGTTGCCGACTCTGCAGTTCAGGCTGGGGGGAGCCCTCTTCGAGCTGCCGCCCTCGGCGTACGTGCTGGAGCCGCGGCACCTGGGCGTGTGCGCCCCCGCGTTCATGGAGGCAGACAAGGGTCGACCAAAACGCTGTTTGGGCTATATCGTGGATCGGCTTCGTTTAGGTTTTGCTTGCATTCTGCCAGAGGAGGCAAAGGTAACAATGGTACCAATGCCGCTGCCCTTCCAACGGGCGCCGGCTGGATTCGCCTCGAAATCTTGGTCACGTCCGGGAAGTAGTGGTATCAGCACTTGGGCATGTGCGCCCCCGCGTTCTTGTAGGTTTCGCATTTTCGCAAAATTGGCCGGGGCGTTTCTGGGTTGAGCCAGTATGCAAAACACAGATTGAACTCACAAGTGTGAACACAAAACTCCCAGCCACCACTTCGTCATCTCTGAGATGATGCGTAGCGGGGCGGGGGTCCTGCGTGGACCGCCGGCGTAGACGGCCAACCGCCGTGCAGGTTGCAAAATGCAGGTGGCGAGGGTGTACAGTGGGAACCCATGCCAAGAAACACCCTGCTCGCCTCCAGGGTGCCCTGGTGTCTTGGGTGTCGATGGTTTTGCGATGGAAAGCGTGACGTTCCCACACCAAAAATCGATCGACGTCCTGGGGTCTCAGGGTTGGGTTTCTTGTGGAAGGTGTCTTGTGGCCGGGCCCCTACTGTATACCAAAACCTTGTCGTGGCAGTGTCGTGGATCGTAGTCGTCATCTCTTGCGCCTTCCTCAGCCAACGACGGAAAAGGCCGCCACGGGGGCGCGAAGCTGCTCGCGATTCGCGATTCCTCACTCTCGTCTCTTCGTCCTCCTCCTCTCCCCCTTAACTAGTGGAGGGGGAGAAGAGAGATCACTGGGAGAGTTCGCGTCTCTTTACGACGCTCTTCTAAGCTACAGGCGTTGCTGAGGTAGGCCTTGAGCAGGACACGCGGGGTGGGTCTCCTCTTCTCCCCCGTCACTAGCGGCGCGAGAGCGCGATATTATGTTCGCGCAGCGTGACGCTCGAACCACAAAGCTGTCCTGGATGATTGGCAGATCACGACTTCGGATCTGCACCAAAGCGCTGTGTTGTGCAATCCCGTCGGACGGCTTTCGCTGGAAGGCGCCCAAGAAAGAATGCGCAAAACTTTGGAGGTCTTGGCATCGTTCGGACGTGTGCATCTCTCTCGGCGAGGAGCATATTGGATACTCCTGCGACAACGCATCGGCGCAGCACTGGAAATGGACGTCCGAGCCTTGGCAAGAGGTAGACATGGTCTCGCAGTTCGGGCCCGCCTGGATCTTCGGGCTGCCGTTCTTCCGGCGCTACTACACAGTGTTCGACCGCACGGGCCCGCGCCTCCACGTGGCACACGCAGGCCTGGGCTGCAGGCCTGCGCCTCACTACCTCGCCACCGCAGGATCAAGGGGGCAACGAACCTCGTCGTCGTCGCCGTCGTCGTCGCCGTCGTCGTCGTCGTCGTCGTCGCCCTCGCCATCGCCATCGCTGGGGCAGCGAACCTGGACAACACGAGCCTCAGAAGAGGGCGGCCTGAGACTCGAAGAGCGGAACAGAATGGCATGGAGACAACCTCTCGGAGGTCCGCGCGGACTTCCTGGATCTGCGCGGGACCCCCGTGGCGGCGCCTCTGGCGCCACCCCCGGCGCGCGACGGGGGTCCGGCGCCGAGTCAAGAAATCCGCGCGGAGTTCCGAAAGTCTATGTTTGTGCTGGTTTTGTCGCCGAGCGCGTTCCACTACTCGCAAAGTGCCTAGTCGCAAACGTCCGAACAAAAGCCATACGTCTGCCTTTGTGTAATATATCGTAAATCCCCCGCGGCGGATCCAGGGAATTAGAGTGCGTAGTTGCTTTACGAGTCGTGGAACCCGCTCGTCTATTTGGGCTTTTTCTGGAAGCGACGGCAATCGGCTTTCGGGGGTGCTCGTCGCCGAGGCTGGACGCAGCACGAGAAATTGGTGCGCTTCGATCGCGGGAGCGGTTTGGGGATCGCTCTTGAGGAGTTGCCGCTGTCCCAGTTCGCCCTGCCCCGAGAAGAGCGAACCTGGACGACGCAGGCCAGGTGCCAGACCAGCTCGATGCGCGCCGCTGTGAGTATTAAATCGGGCATGTCCTCTACAGGAGGAATATTTAGTCAAAAGATAGGCGGGGACGATTGTTCCACAATTGTCTATCTTTGAGTCTTGTTTTGGCTATTTTTGTTTTTTCGTCCAAAATCCGCCTGTAGGGGGACATGCCCGACCTGATGTGAGTGCCAGCACGCATGGACGCGTGCACCGAGCTGGCCTGGTCACGTGCGCGGTGGGCGCCGCCCGGGAAGAGGATCCAGCACCACCCCGGGAGGCGCCAAAGAGGCCCTGGGAAGGCCGAAGTCATGCGACAAGCGGGGGGCCCTGAGGTCTGAGCATCTCAACTGTTTCGAGCTGGGCGTTCGCGCCCGGTTTCGGGCCCTGGGACCTTCACGGATCGGTCCGGCTCGAAACTTGGCGCAGAAACATCGGGTCAGGGGCTCTCCGGTCGTGGTTTTTTGGCGATGTTGCCATGTTGTCGCTGCGTCGGATCTCAAGGAAATCCCCTGGCGTTCGAAATGTTGCCAAGTTCCTGGGCCTCTCGGCCCAGGTGCCTAGAGCCTACGGGCGAAGAACGAAGCCCGGGGGCAGGCGTCCCCGACGGCGGAACATCGACTAGACGTAAGAGTGACCTTGCGCCCGAGTGACCTTTGGTGCGGGCACAGGTGGGTCCCCAGATGGCTGAAAACGATGCAGCAGCAGCTGCTTGCGCGCCCAGGTTTGGTCTCCCCGCGGCCCCCAAAAAGTCGCGCACCAAAGGACACTCTTACCCAGGGCCACTCTTGCGTATAGCCGAGAAAAGTTTAATGTGTACCGTTCTTCGCCCCCGCCAGAGATCTCGTGGACCCTGGGGGGGGCCGGGCCTGACGCGACGGCGCTTCCCAGCGTTGGAGCTCGAGGGCACACACGAAGCACGGATGCACGACATGGGTGTACAGTCGGACCGAGATAGAAGATCGAGGTCGGTTCGGGGAGGCCGCTCCGGCTGCTCATGACGGAAGCCTTCCGCCTCCGAGTGTTCGCCCTCCCCTCTCCCCCGCGGCCGTCCTGCCTGTCCTCCTCCCCCCTTGAATGCCGGCCAACTCGCTTTGTCGTGCCCTTGCATCGCTGCCACGCTGGAGCGGACTGCCCCGCCTCGCTGCCGACGGAAAAAGTGTGTTGGATGTTTTTTGTGCATCCTGCGGAGAGTCTCGTGTTGTTGAAGGATATATGTATAGGTCCTGGGCCCGATTGTATGACGTCGTTGTTCCTGCCATCCACGCCCGGATCGTCGTGCCCATCCTCCACGCTCTCGCGTTACGTCCCCGCTGAGTAGGTCCAGCGTCGGGCGGCGTGTCGCATCCCCGCCATCCGCGCCCGGATGGTTGCCGTGTTAGGAGCACGCGCGGGATTTGCAGCGGTTCGCTCGAGGACCCAGCCGCGCGCGCGCGCCAGCTCCGACCTGACTCCGCGTCGACGTTGCGCGCGAGGCCGCGACCGCCCAACAGGTGTACAGCAGGGGCCCTGAAGAAGGAACCCTTTTCGTTGGGGAGGGGCTCCGCGTTCCTTGATTATTTCACAGCTTGCCTCAGGGTTTCCTAATGTTTTCAATGGGAAGTCGAAGTTTAACTTATGGAAAAAAGGGGCCTCGTTCCTTATTTAGGGTTCCTTAGGTCAACGCCCCGACTGTAAGGTGTGGGATGGGGTTGTGGCTCGAATGGGAGGCTTCCCGCACACCAGTAACCAAATGTTCACGCTTCGCGCATCCCTACCCTCCCATCCATCAACGATGGCCAGACGGGTTACCTTGATCAGGGCAATGCATGATCAAGCAGCGAAATGAGGGTGGCAGCCGTTAAAGCGGTGCTCGGCATCAGCCTGACCAGCCCCAGCGATCAACCATGAATTTCTCTGCTGGGCCCGAAAGCGTGTCGCGACACGACGCGACCAGCCCCAGGGGAACCGGGGGAAGCCCGAGAAGATCTGAGAATTTGGGGGTCCGGGCCCCGAAGCACTCCGCAGCAGCGACCACCGAGGCTCAGAGGGGCAGCGGAAGGACTTGAGGACGCGCCCACGTCGTGCCCAGCGGCACGGTGGCGGCTGGGGGGGGGGGCGATGTCCTGCCCTCGGCTGGCATTCCTGGAGGCCCCGCCCGCGAGGAGTGCTCCGCGCGGGGGCGGCGCGGAACCGCTCCGCCCCGCGCCGCTGGCGCCTGCCCGCCCCGCCGCCCGGGGCGCGCGCCCCGCCGTGGCCGCGGGCGACCGGCGGCCGCCTCACGCTCTGAGGGCGCGGGCCCCCCGGAGGTGGCCCCTGCGGGGAAAGGGCCGCGCCCTCGCCCAGTCCTCCTGCCTGCCTGCCCGCCTGCCTGCCCGCCTGCCTGCCCGCCTGCCTGCCCGCCTGCCTCCCTCCCTCCTGCTCTCCGTTGCTCCCTCCTTCCTCCTTCTCTACCTCCCTCCCTCCCTTCCCCTCCCTCACCTACTCCCTCCTCCTCCTCCTCCTCCTCCTCCTCCTCCTCCTCCTCCTCCTCCTCGTCTCCCTCCCTCCTCCCTCCTCCCTCCCTCCTGCCTCTCTCCCTCATCCCTCCCTCCCTCTCTCCTCCCTCCTCCTTCTCCCTCTCTCCTCCCTCCTCCCTCCTCATTCTTGGGGCACGAGGCGGTGAAACTCTACCCGTGTCCCAGAAGACGGCCGAAACGATCCTTCTTTTCATCGCTTCATTCAGGTCACCCCAGGGGGCGCGAATATAATGGCGCCTCGCGCGTCGCAGCCTGGGCCCTCGCCTGATCTTCGTCCTCGTCGTCGGTCGACCCGTCGTCGGTTGACGTCGTCGTCGTCGTCGTCGTGTCGTCCGTCGTCGTCGTCGTCATCGTCGTCCCTGTCGTCGTCCCTGTCGTCGTCCGCGTCGTCGGTTTGCCCCGTCGTCGGCGTGTCCGTCGTCGTTCGTGGTCCGTCGTCGTCGGCCGTCGTCGGCCGTCGTCGTCATCGTCGTCGTCCCATCATCGTCGTCGTCGTCGTCGTCGGTCGTCGTTCGTCGTTCGTCGTCGTCGTTCGTCGTTCGTCGTCGTCATCGTTCGTCGTCGCCGTCGCCGTTGGGCAGCAGCGATGGGGGGGTGGGTCAGAAACCCATTCCCCAGGGGGGTTCGGACTGGGGGGGTTTAGGAGGGGAGGGGCCGGTTTCGAGGCGGCCCCAGGTATTTTTTCCCCTGGAGGGGGGGGGGTCGTCGGTTTCTGGGACACCCCTGTGATAAATGTTTCATGCTAGCGGCCGTGGAACGGAACGCGCTCTCTCAGAGATCCAGCGCCAACGTCACATGAAGCTGCTGCTAATGAAAGGTTGGGCCCGCCAGGCTAATGCTAATGCCCGATGGTTCGCTACCAATCCATACATCCGTGCCAGGTGGCACCAAAGATCCGCTCTCCACCTGGCGGCTTGTTCGGTGTGAGTTGGTACATGGGTCGCCCACAGCGGGGGTCGTACTCCACCAGCTCATCGCTCGCCCGCCGAAGCGACCGGGCCATGCGCCAGAGGTATGTTGCTTCGATTGGCTCGGGGGCTCGTAATGGGGGGGCGATGAATGGATGGGCAGCGAGGGCTGCAGAAAAGGAGCCCTTCGGGGCCCCTAAACAGGGGCCCTTGAGGGCCCCAAAGGGGGCCCTGAGGTCCCAAAAAGGGCACCTTTCCCCTCCCCCCCCCCCATTTGTCGCACTCACTCGCGCCCGGTCGGCGGGACCTGTCAGGTCAAGGGCGCGGGACCTGGGATGCCCAGACGTTGTCGACATGCTCTGCGCTCTCGCCCACCTCTGCGGCGCGCGAGCGCGCCACGTCGCACGCCCTAGGCCGAGAGGTCACTGGCGGAAGCGCGAAGGGGAACGCGCCTCTCGCCGCCTGGGCCAGAGAGGCCGCCCTTCTCCGCGGAGGCGGCGCCAGGCCGCGAAGGTGACTGCGCCTTGCGCAGCGCGATTCTCGAAGCTCGGTGACCCAGACAAGCAGGCTACCGGGGGGAAAGGTAGCCCTACCGCTGCCCTGCCCTCGTTTCTTCCTTTGTTGGGCCTTCTGGGAGGCCCTCGTCGCCGCCGCTGGATTCGCCTCGAAATCCTGGTCAGAACGCACCCCAGGAGAGATCCGGGGAGTAGCGGTATCGGTACCTTGTGGTTTCCCCAGCAGCGCACGTTTGAGCTAATTGAGACCAACGTCTGGCATGCGCCTTTCACCCCGTTGGCAATCGGGGCAATCCGCAGGATTGCAAGGCGGCCATCACCCTCAAGCTACGCAGCGAGGCACTCGGTGTTTTGCTTCATTGCCTTCTATCTGCCACCATAATCTGCTGCTCTCCTGTTGCTCCCATGATATATCCGACGTTCCCCTGCATACCCAACTATGCAGCAATAATTAGAAGCATGTTCTGAACGATCGCAGTACTGAAATCAGTCTGCAAGTGTTCGTGCGGGTTCGAGGAGGAGGAGGTTCCGTGAGTCAGTTGCAAAGTTGCAGTATCACATAACCATGTCGATTAGTTTGTATCGGGACGCATTTTCAACACAAGCACGACCGCAGAGCATATGTGGCGCATGTCGGCAGGCGCTACGTACACCGAGCCTGCTCTCGACCAATACGGGACACAATCAGCGCCTGACAGGGGGAACGGGGAATGGGGGCGGTTGGGCGAAAAGGGTCGAGGCAACGCAAACATGTACCACGGCGCGTGGGTTAGCGACGGGTCCCGATTCAATGCAAAAAGCGGCGCACACCATCGACACATCAGGCGGCATTGGCTCTATGGTTTCGAGGGGCAGGCATCGATCGACGAGTAAATTTGATCACGTTGTCCCCCCCCCCGCGCCCACATGTCAGATCCACAGACCCGTAATCCGTCTTAGCGGGTGCCTGAAAGGGGGAGGGCGAGCTGGACAGGAGGAGGAGGAGGAGGTGGAGGAGGAGGTGGAGGACGCCGTGAGGGGGGAAGAGGAGGAGGGGGGGACGAGGCGTCTCTCCGCTCCCTCGTTCATCTCGTCCCTCGGCCTTCTCCATCCTCCTTCATCCTCCAGTACTCCCCGCAACTTGGTCGGAGGAAGATCGGCGATTGGGAAAGGGGGAATCACGAACACGTTTGAATGCTCCTTTTCGGCCCCGCCGCCAGGCGCTTTCCTAGATGCATGGCTTCTCCTGACGCTGGGAGGTGCTGGGCAGACCAGCTACGTGAGACGAGTTGATATCCCTGCCCCTCGCTAGCCCTCCCCCTCAGGCAAAGCCTCGTGGGCCGTTCCTGGGCCACCTTGGAGGCCTCTGGGGCGACCTCGGGGCGCTCTGGGCCGTCGGGAGGCCGAAAGGAAGCAGGTGCCAAAGTCCTCTTTAGAAGCTGGAGGAAAATCAATGCTTCTGGCTGTGGCGCACCCGCCCAGCGCACGAGGCTCGGGATCTCGCTGCCCTTCGTGGCCCGTTGCGGCCCCTCGTGGCCTCCTGCCTGCCCCTCGTGGCCCCGTTGCGGCCTCTCGTGGCCTCCTCGCTGCCCCTCGTGGCCCCGTTGCGGCCCCTCGTGGCCTCCTCGCTGCCCTTCGTGGCCCCGTTGCGGCCGTTCGTGGCCCCCTCCCGGCGACACGTCGGCAGGGCGCGCCCCGCGCACCGAAGCGCCCTTCGAGCGCCCACGGGCGGGCACCGCGGGCGAGGCCCCGGCAGGCCCCCCCGGGCGAGGCGCGCCCGCGGGCGCCCACCCGTTGGGGCACCGGGGCGAAGCCCCGAGCAGGCCCCTGCAGTGGAGGCCCATGCCAAGAAGCACATCCTCCTCCTCCTCCTCCTCCTCCTCCTCCTCCTCCTCCTCCTCCTCCTCCTCCTCCTCCTCCTCCTCCTCCTCCTCCCTCCTTCCTCCTCCCTCCTCCTCCTCCTCCTCCTCCTCCTCCTCCTCCTCCTCCTCCTCCTCCTCCTTCCTCCTCCTCCTCCTCCTCCTCCTCCTCCTCCTCCTCCCTTCTTTTCTCCCTCCCTCCTCCTCCCCCCACCTCCTCCTCCTCCTGGTCCTCCTCCTCCTCCTCCTCCTCCTCCTCCCCCTCCCTCCTCCTCCTTCTCTCCTCCTCCTCCTCCTCCCCTCCTCCTCCTCCTCCTCCTCCTCCTCCTCCTCCTCCTCCTCCTCCTCTTCCTCCCTCCCTCCTCCCTCCTCCCACCTCCTCCCTCCTCCTCCTCCTCCTCCTCCTCCTCCTCCTCCTCCTCCTCCCTCCTCCCTCCCCCTCCTCCTCCTCCTCCTCCTCCCGCCTCCTCCTCCTCCTCCTCCTCCTCCTCCTCCTCCTCCTCCTCCTCCTCCTCGGTTCGCCTACGGCCCCGGGGGAAACCGTGCAGTCCAGGGTTGACATACAGTTGGGGCCCATGCCAAGAAACACCCTGCTTGCCTCCAGGGTGCCCCAGGTTTCTTGGGCTCCGAAGATTGTGCGATGGAGAGCGCGACGCTCCCACGCCAGAGGTCAGTGGGCGTCCGGGGGTCTCAGGGTTGGGTTTCGTGTGGAAGGTTTCCTGTGGACCGGCCTCCACTGTAGCCACCATCCCAGCACGACCCCTTAAGCGCATGCATTGCCTGAGAAAGTAGGAAAGGAGAGGAGGGAATTAATGCAAGAAAGGAAGACGGGGGATGACGGAGGGAGGGAGGAAGACGAAGAGGAAAACTTAACCAGGAAGGAGGTTTCTTGATTTGAGGCGAGCATTGCAGAGTGCGTGCGCCTCTGAAGAGTAGACAACTGCATCAAGATGCACTTTCAGAGTTCAGCGCGGGTTTCTTGGACTGGCGCCTGGCCCCTTTGGCGGCGCCTCCAGCGCCGATCCGAGAGATCCGCACGGACCTCCAAAGTCCTATGGTGATGCAGTTGTCCTCCAGGCAGGAGGAGTCGACGACCGATGTTGAGTGTTGCTCCGGCCTTAGATTTTGACCCCCGGAGGTTTTTAGAGGCCCGAGAACGGTTCAACCACTGTGCGTTTTAAGCGTAGGTTATGGCAAGTTTACTTGCTTGCATGGCATTCCCCCACCCCTCCGCCGCCATTTCTAACAGTGCTGGGCCGAAAAGGCGTGCAAATGTGTCCCGACTGAACGGCCAGAACGAGGTATAAGATCGAGGTCGGTTCAGGGAGGGCACCCCAAGGTTCTTCGTGCTTTCATGGATGCTCTTGTGCATCCTGGGGGAGGGTACCCTCGAATGTTTTTCAGTTTGGCCAGCGGAGGGTCTCGTGTTCCCGAAGGATGTTCAGCTGTACACGAAGTCCAGATATTTCCTTCCGGGCCTGGCCACGTCCCCCCCCTCT